TCACCTTACATTATGTAATACATTTTTCGAGGATAAATTTTACAAGTATCTGCTTGGTCTAATGATTTCGTTGTTAAATATAATTACGATAGTATACAGCAGTTTATGGAAATGAATCATCGGAAGGAAAATTTTCTCCGCTGTTTAATGCCTTTTTCTTATGGCTCAATATGAGAATATTTCCTTCGGAGAAAACTTTTTGTAATCGCCAATGAATGAAAAAAATTAAAATACATTGTTTAAAAAATTTCTCTGTGTTTACTGGCAACAGCCTTAAAAAAGTAAACACTTGAAATTAAAATTAAAAGAAGTTTTCGCTTAATGATATTATTATTTCCTTTAATTCCTAGAGGAACATATGGCTTCAGCTGCATGTCTACATTGCGTTCGGTTCTCTGCTAAAGTTTTCACCTGACTCCAAGTCTGCCCACATGCTTTCATCTCCTCTCCACATGACCTCCTCCAAGTCACCCTTGCATTGGTGACCAACTCGCCGCTACCCTTTCGGGTTCCACTCGAGCGATGGCCTGTCGTGTGATGTCACTCCTGCCTATTTGTTGCATAATCGGTTCCTGGTTGGTTCATTCACTCCCACAGATCCCTGTTGCTGATCTCTTCTTGCCAGCCATCTGATCTTGAGCGGTATTGAGCGAAGACAGCTGTTGATGAAGGTTTGTAGTTTGTTCGAGGTGCTCTTTATGACGCGCCAAGTCTCTGATCCGTATGGAAGCAATGACTGACTTCATACTGGAGTTGAAAATCTCGATCTTATTATCATTTTCATGCTGAGTGTTCAGTGTTGACCTCCACACAGACTTGAGAGAAATGAAAGCTTCTTTGCTTTCACGATCCCCACTGCTTTCATATCCTCGTCACTTCCATCCACCTGCAGTTGAAGTGATGCTTCTTAGGTCGGTAGGTAGAGGAGGTCTTTTTTTCAGGTTGCTCCCATTTATGCTGGTTGATTAGTATCTGTTGTTGGAGCTGTTACTGTTGGTGCTGGCCAGGAATCTTCATCACCTCTGTTTTCTCTATGGTCATCTGAAGTCCTACTTACCCTGGATGTTTCTTCTGCCAGGTTGTTGCTATTCACTTGCATATCTTCCAGTTTGTTGGAAATCTAACATATATCATCGGCAAAGTTCAGATCCTCCAAGTTTTTTGTGTGGGTCCATTTTATGCCTGTTTCCTCGCCTCCTGCTGTCTGTCTTATTGTTCAATCCACCGCCTGCAATCAGGAAAATCATTGGCGACAGTAGGCAGCCAACCAGCTTGTATTACTCCCGTCTCCACTTCGAGGGATTCCGTCGGTTTCCCGTTGTGGATTACTTGGCATGCAGCATTGTCGTACAACTGTTGGATGAGATGTATAATTGCCGTCGGCACCCCATAGTAGCGACGTAGTTTCGAAATCACCTCTCGATCGAAGCCCCACTGTCGAAAGCCTTTTCAGAGTCGATGAAGTTGAGATTGAGAGGTGACTGCCACTCCAAGCTCTGTCCACTGATGACGTGTAGTGTGGCGATTTGATCAACTCGTTACCTGTTTCTCCTGAATCCAGCCTGTTCTGGTCGAAGTTTTTCATACAAGGCTTGTTTGATTCTTTTCACGATGATGCGGCTTAATATTTCGCTTAGGATAGACAGGAGCATAATTCCGCACCAGTTCTTGCATTAACTAAGGTCTCTTCTCTTTAGCAGCTTGAATAAGCAACCTTTCTTCCAATCGTCCTCTGTTATCATACTAAATAAATTTCGATGGAAAGCACCTAATTATAGAGAATATGGTTTTTAATAATTGAATGAATCTTCTAAATGTGATAATAGTGTTCAATTCACATTTATGCGTAAACATGTTTTTTTGAAATGACTGCTCACACTGTCTGAATAACACGAACACAAATGCTTTTGCATGGATGAGTCAAATTGATTAATGTATCAAACGATTTTATTACGTCACGTTTTTTAGTTTTCTGAACACCCTATCCTATTTCTACTTACTTCTCATTTTTATTTATTAGATGTGTTTTTTTCACATTTTCCTTGTAATTTAAACTTCCATTTTTTTCTGAGATTGACTTGGTTATCTCCTTCCAGTTGGTTTTGTGAATTCTTTGTTGAGCATCAGTATGACTGCAAGATTCATCGGAAGAAAAGTTTCGCCGCTGTTCCGCTTTCTCGGGTTTATCATCAGATACAGAATTCCCCATTCACATATCATCTTCTTCACATTTGTCTAGTGAGAATGACGCTGTGAATAATTATCCATCGAATCGTTGAAATTTATATGCATATGTTGTCAAAATTACGTTTCTTAAATATTATTTAATTAAATTATTAAAACTGACTATATATATATATATATATATTTAGTGAGAAGTGATTGAAAATGTATGTAACAATAGAAGGCAAGAGTCAGGCAACAGATCGTTTATTGAGAAAATCAAGAGGTATTTATAGATTTTTATGTACATTGTTATTCGTTATTGTCAGCAGAGAAACACTGTCTTCTGATTGGTTGTTTTTTGCTGAAGGCTATTCTGTACTGCTTGTGACCGTTCCTTAGAAAGTTAAGTCATATATCTACAAATCGTATTTGCACACGACGCTTAGTCTGCTGTGATTGGTTGCTAAGCTCCTCAAGGTTAGGCTTTGTTCTTGTTTTTTCTTATATCCCCAAGCTGGGACGTAAACATTGATGTAGATTGTTGTTTACAATTTTTAGCTTGCAGACAGCTCTTACCACATTATGACCAGATAAACAACAGCTCGTATTCACAGCTTCTGAGACCTGTGATGGTAAAATCTGCAATGTCTGTTTTTCTTTTTAATATTAGGCATTAAAAAGTACGAAAGCTATCATTTCAGAGAGCATTTCTTCAAAATCTAACAACATGGTTTGGTTTGTATGGGTTAGACTTGTTTTTACGAGTTGATCACGGATTGATATCAATTAGAGAACCATTGAAAACCACGAGGTGGGAGTACTGGACAGCTGTTTCATCAGCCTAGTTTAGGAATTATCAGAAGTACTCACCCACCCTCCAAGATTCTAACCCAAAACCTTCCGGTTACAAGGCAACCTAATGGCCAGTCCATGAATTCTAACTTTTACCAATTCATGATTTAGCACGACACATCCGTTCAGTGAGGTCCATCCAGATGTCTCACCTACGACAATGATTGGGGTCACACTAAATCACGAATTGGTAGAATTTAGGATTCATTCACTGGTCATTGAGGAGTCGGGTCCCAGTGGCTGAATGGTAAACGAGGTAGCTTCCTTTGTAACCGGTAGGTCCTGGGTTCGAATCCTGGAGGTTGGGTGCGTACTTCCGATGATTTTCAAACTAGGTTGAAACAGCTGGCTGTCCACTACTCCGTGGTGGTTTTCAATGGTTCTCTAACTGATATCAATCCGTGATCAACTCGTAATAATCTAACACTTTCAAGAAAATCATCAAGAATTCTAAGATCAATGATTTTTTGAGGCTAAATTAGTGAGCCATGACTAATAATTTTTTTACATGCGTCAAAATGAGGCTATGTAGGTGAAAATAAAAGTCACATAAAGTCTGAATCTTTGTGAAAGCTGTAATCATTGTAAAATGATTATCAAACACCATTGAAAATGACCACCTTGTGTGTTTTAGGCAATACCTAAAACCTATAGGATTGCTATCTGAAGGCTTTTAGTCTTATCCAAGTGTCGTGTACTGCATTCATTGCTAAAGGGTTTATGAGGTGTCTAGTGACCTTTGATTAAAGCTATGATTCACTGTTTGATATCATTTTGTCCCAGCATTCACACTGTAGTTATTTTCTGTTTTTATAAGACTTGCGAGGCATCTTACGTATATATTTTACGGTGGAGCTATTAGTTTTAAATGTGGAGATTTAATGTGTATATATAATAATATTCTCAATTTCTGTTATACATTACATGAGATGAATAAATCAGATCGACCGTACCCAGCGTTCGCTTTCCAAACGTATCCCCAAACACTTACCAACATGGTTTTACAAAGGAGAAAAACGGTGCCCCCGCAGCTCCGTCTTAGAACATCTGATAGAATCCGGACACCAAGCTACACCGCAATCAAACTTCTAAGTCGTTTACAGTGTAAGAAGTAGTCTTCCTAAAGGTGTACGAATCAGACTTCTTCAAACTGCAGAAACAATAGTGATCAACTTGCTGAGCCCTGAACTCTGCATATAGAAGAAGCTTGTTCAATCACTACACTTGCGATGGATGTAATCTATCTTATTAGCCGACAAGTAAATTCCACATAGGCATTTTCTCTCTTCTGTCTCTTCATAAGTATTATTTTATCTTCTCGGTTGTTCTGTATCCCCCACACAATTTTATTTCTGCACCTCATTTCCACTGTTACTGACTTGACCAACGCCCAATTTCTAGTCATTTATGTTACGTCATCCAAATTATTTGCTCAATTTCAGTTCTAATTTAAATGGCATTATTCTCTACCACACTTCTACTTAGTCTCTACCTGTAATTACCTCTATTGCAACCCTGACGTTAGCTGAAACATTTTAGTCAATTATAATACGTCATCTAACTTACTAACTCAACCTTACTTTAGGTGATGTCTAATTAACCTTGTTTCTAAATTAGATCATTCTTGTATTACCTAATTAATTATCTAAACTTGAAAAACCTCATGTACACACACACACACAAGTAATTATATATAAATGCGATTGTACAGCTATGTGAATAAATTCGCCAGTCAAAACAGTCTCTTCGCTGAACGTCTTCTCTCTTTTTCATATAACTCAGTAGGGATTTTCAAACTAAGTTCTGAAAAGTATTTAAAAGACTGCTAATGATAATGAAACCAGAATAACCTTATCAATACTGCTAGCGTGCATGATTTGTCAATTTCTTAAAAGCTTTTGTTGAAATTTAGATATCTCAGTGTGAGTACTATTCTTTGTAATTTATACCGCCCACGAATTGTATGATTTTGTTCTTTATAGGTGATTGATGAATACGGCGCTAAATCGGGTGACCAAGTTGTACAAATCGATGGTGTATCAGTCAGAAACTTGAAACAAGCTAAACAATTACTTGAACGATGTGGTAATTCTGTCAGTCTTCTACTTCTAAGACCAATCAGAATTGTAAGTTACCTATTAAAAGAATTTTTTAGTGTCATAACTGATTTTACTTTGTTAAAAATGAGATTATAGCTGCATATCACTGAAAATACCCATTGAGTCATAAAGAAAATAAAAGACAGATTCAGCGGAGAAAATTTTCTTTATCGATGAAATCATCTTCACAGGCTGTACTGTACAGTCGTATTTACACTTACCAAAAAATATATAGTGGTCTATTATTGAGTAAAAGGGGGCGACATAATTGATATAATTATTCAGAGGTGGCTTTAGAAGGGAAAATTAAGGAGGAGGAGGATATGTTCAAGTGATACAATCGATGAGGAATCGGGGCGACTCAGACAAGTCCTTATAGAGAATGGATATCCTCCGAGATTTATCGAAAAAACATGAAGTTAGGGAAAAGCCTGAAAGAATCCAGACGGTGCTGAAGAAACTCCTGTTTATAAGTGTTGAATTCAAAGGTGATACCACAACTGAGATCCTGAAAAATCGCTTATGCAAATCACTGAGGAAAACCTTCTTTATGGCTGAGGTACGTATCACTTTCTGCAGCTGATAAATGATCAACGGATGTGTGAAGGATAAACTGCTGCTTTGGACAGGCCACCTCAGTATGTGTTTATAATTTAACCTGCTCTTGTGAAGCCAGTTATATTGGCCGCCCGCACAAAGCGCATGCTTTCCAAACGCATATCTGAACATTCTCTGACATGGATAGCAAAGGGACGATGCATGACAATTACTAGCTTAATTCTCGAGCATTTGGTGAACTCAGGACACGTAGCTCCACCTGAGTCGTCTTTCAAGATCATCTACAAAGTGAAGGCAAATGGTACAAAGGGCATCAGGTTTAGGCTTTTCTGATGGGCGGAGGCCCTGGAAATTCGTCAATACAACCCTGAACTATGCATACAGAAAACGTTTGCCCAGTCTCTTATTCAACCTTGGTCTTAACCTCTTCACTAATCATTCCCGGTAAAAAAACATTTTGATTTTTCTTTTCTTTTTGAATTTTGAATCTTACTTTTAGTTTTCTTTCGCTCTAATAATTTATTCACTATTATCACTCTCATATACTCCTCCTGTGCATTTCACACCCACTTCACACTTGTTAAACTGACACTCAACTACCGCCTATCTTCTCACTCAAGACCAATTTTAACCTCATCAAATTTTTGTCTTTGTGCCGTTGAGTACCACGTAATTTAAAACTTTTATTTCCAACTTCTAGAGTCACTTCTGAGTAATTATATCAATTATGTCACCCCTATTATTCAATAATAGGCCACTATATATTTTTGGTAAGTATAAATACGACTGTACAGCCTGTGAAGATGATTTCGCCGATAAAGAAACTTTTCTTCGTTGAATCTGACTTTTATAGCTAAATACTATCAATCATTGTTGTGGAAAAGAACACAGATTACTGATCAGCTTATCTATGCGGAAGAGGAGTTAATAGGGATCAGCCGAAGCCTTAGTGTAAACCGATTATTTTAATTTACGTTTATTACGGATGATACAAAATGACATCTGTAATAACGGCTTTTTTCTACTTTTGAGTTCTTAGTGATACATAGGGCTTTAAGCTTTAGAAGTTGAAGTCGGTAACATCAATGTCTCATTTTCCGGCGTGCGGTTACTATCTTTACTGTCAGACTTCCTTATTTTTCAGAATTACTGCAGGTTAGGTGAAATTTAGGAGTGTCTTGGTCAAAAGTCAAACTTCTGACCTCCTATATGGCTGTCGAGCAATCTGCTACTGAATGAAACATTCAACAGACTTTCCGTCCTATTTTTGGACTCCTAGACAGTACGTATCCATGGCTCCCGAAACGATTGAACGCAACTACTTTAGATTAACGGGCAAGCCATTCTGGCAATCAAGCCACTTGTACTTTACTGTGTGTATTTGCTTAATTCCAATTATCAAGAAATGTTTCTCATAAGCAACTAAACATAACATCCGTTTTACTTGACTGGAAAGATTGAAGCAGAAAAACAATTGAATGTACTTAAAATAGAAAATTTGTGTTTTTAAGTTTGTGCACGCCATCTTTATTGATCAACTGATAAAGTTCAAATTTAAACCTCTCCTTATTTTCATTCAGAGAAAGCAATGATCGGGATAGAAACCAAAAGACTTCATTCTTCACTTCACTAGTTGTTTATCTAAGATATTTGGCCGCAGTTCGACTTTTCTTAAGTTTGACCATGAATTGATGTCAGTTAGAGAACTGTTTAAAACCACCAGGGGGTACTGGACAGCTGTTTCATCCCAATTTGAGACTCATCGACAGTAATCACTCACTGCCAGGTTTCGAACCAAGGACCTCCCAGTTACAGCGCAAACTCGCAGACAATTAAGCCATTGAGAACCGACTGAATAAGCAGTCCAGGTATTCTAACTTTCACGAATTGATATATGTTGGGATATATGGACCGGCCACAGGATAGGGTCCCAGTGGCAGAGTGGTTTTACTAAAGTTCCTTGTAGCTGGAAGGTCGTGGTTTTTTCAAACTCCGGTGGGTAAGTACTGTAGATGAGTTCCAAACTGAGATGGAGTAAACAGCTGTCCAGTACTGTGTGCTGGCGTTTCCATGGTTCTCTAACTGATGTCAGATGTTGAATAAATCTGGAACTTAACAAATCTCTACACGCCAACTCTGTAAGATAATATCCTTTGTGATAAATATGAACACGAAACAATATCTCGGAAAGCTGTTTGTATTCACTTATTTTAGAAAGTTAATGTAAGTACAGAAAATCTATCCTTTATTTCATACTGTCATATCATTTAGAATCTGTGGACGTGATAATTTTAAATTGTGAGCTTTAAGGCTTTGATTTCATCAAGCAAAACTCTAGTTAGTAAGTACATCGTTAAGCATGAGTAAATATGTTCAAATAACATGTATTTTAATAACACTTTTATTCCAAACAGTGTATGCATAATCTACAGAAAATTCATGTGAAGTTTATTGGCCAATATCTTCTCAGGATCTTCGATCCAAATAATTTTATTATAAAGGGCTTCAACAATGCATTTTCATTTCATCCTGTTCTCTGGTGTCTTCTTTAATCGGCTGTGAGAATGACAACGACACCCTACATGTCACTCTTCAACTAAAACTCAACTCTTTTTTCCCTATTTACGTCCCACTGTAGAGTGTGCCTACAGTGTGGTTTCACTTCTTAGTCTTTTCAACGTTTGACCGATCCATCTCCACTCTATAAGGCCATATTTATTAGGCAAAAGATTCTTGATTGTTACGTTCTCAGAATTTCTTTTGCTTTGTTTGTTTCTGGTCATCTTTCTGATCCTGAGTATGAAGACAGGCCAGCTGTCGATAAGCGTCTTCAGCATGCTGTTTAAATGCCTTTCGTGACAAGTCGTCTCTCATCCGTACAGAAGAAGTGACTGACTTAAAAATGGTGTTTAAAATCCAAATTTTGTTGTTTTATTTTGAGTACAGAATACTTCCAAACTGATTTTAGAGTAACGAAGGTCTGTCTGGCTTTTCAGACTATGTTTTTGACATTCTCATCCGTGCCACCCGCCTTCAGTTAAAAAAACCTTGCCTGGATAAAAGAAGGACGTAAGTGATAATAAATCGGTCGACACAGTGATGTCTAATATGATGTGAAAACCATTCCCATTTGATATATCTTCTTCCTTCCTTCATGAAATTCACGACATTTAGTTAGTTGACACCGACTTTAAAAAAAAGTGCACGAGTACATTTTGAGACCAAGGGACATAAAGCAATAATTAAACACTGCAGGGGAATAGTTTCGTGTCCCTGACAGTTTCCTTTTTTACGAAGAATTTCAGGGACACTTATCTCAAGTATCTGGATAAGTCACTAGTGTTTCTTCTCAAGCGTAATCGAAACCTTACAAATCATCAGGCTGTAAGTAAGTAGTTTGAATACCTATAAGAGTTTAAAATACCATACCAGCTCGTGAACAAGCCTGGAACTGATCACATCTCTTCGAACCAACTCTTGAAGATAATTTGAGCGAAGATACTAAAGAATGTCTAAGCTCAGGTATGTGTGAAACCATTCATTAGAGCTTGAACAGTTGCTTCATAAATATTTACTTTATTAATTCTCATGGGACACTCAATATTTTTGGGTACATATATACTTATTCTTTTTTCACAGTATTCACTGTAAAATCTAGGCACATGAGTGATGACCACACGCAACAATTTAGGCTTTCTAAAATATATGAATAACTACAAAATTATGCTTTCGTTTCCATGGATAAAGATTCTCCTGAATAAAGATATTAATATGTGAACTGTTTTCGTCTAATCAGAGATCACATAGAAACGAATCTTAATCCTAAACTCATGTAAGTTATCCGTAAAAACCTCCAGTTCTACGACTAAAAATATTATCTTAGATTTGATACGTTCGTTATACATGAATGGCTTTTAATTTTGATGATATAATTGTTGTACATCGTACTTCATGCATTGCATCTTCATGCATTTCTTTTTGTCAAAAATATCATTTATAAAATAGATAAAGTTTATCTGAAAGTTCTTTAACTCTCAACCCCGGGTTTTTAGCTATCTTTACTCAAATTTCAAAATTTCACAGTCTAATCTAGGTTGGGAAAGTACCGCTTCCAACGGATCAATCGATAAAAATGATACGAGTAGTCAGTTTATTCAGCAACCTCGATTATTTCCGCATATGGTGTATACAACACCAGACCGGTTAACACAAACTATATGGCTGCAGCAAAATATATTCCGTGAGAAATTAAACGTTTTGTCAAAAATTAACAGTGTTATACAAGATGATACTAATGTTAAAGGCGTAAACCCTATTTCAAATATCAATAAAAATGGTGCTCAAACAAACGAAACTGAAAAACGATATGAAACACGCCTGCCGCAACATTCCAATTTAGAAACAGACAAGAATAATCTTACCTCTTGGACAATTCGTCGAAGTGCAGACGGAACTCGGTATATAACGAAGAAATATAAAAGGTAATCTTAATTCATTTCTATGTGTATTTAGCAATAATCAAAAAGGATCGGATTGCATTTATTCATGATTGCTTCTGAGCATTGTGAGTCGGTGACACGAAAGTAAAATGCTTACCGACCACGCCCAGGTGGTTCGGTGTTTGGTCGCCGGCCAACGAACTCCTTCACCTAGCTAAACCAGTAATAAGACTGTTAAAGAGCGAAGGTGAGGCATGAGACAGGCTAGCAACCCCATCGTGTGAAAATAAAGCACCACTGCCACGGAAACGTCAAGCCCTAGATTGTAGACGCCCTGTGTTCCACTGGGAAAGTAAGGGAATAAAAAAAGCTGGACATTATTTGAAGTTTTCATGGTATTACATCTGAAGTGAGTGTTAGTTTTAATTGGGCCTACTTACTTGAAAATACAAAACGTTGATGGTACTCTGACAAGGAAGAAAACCAATGAAAATACCGTTTATTAAAGAGTAATTATTTCTAGGGAGGAGGTTTCTAACCGTACGGTCCCTTGCTAAAAATTTTCCCATTTGCTGACAGACTAAAGAACACAACGTATTATCCACCAAGATTACACTTTCACATTTTTTAGTTTGCTACGTTCATCAAACTGAGAAAATGTGCGTATTTTTTGCCTTCCGAGGGGAACATACGGTATCAAGATGGAGTTTCAGTAGCAGTGGTGTTTTTTACAAACTGAGGTTGCTGACCTCACGTCCAATTTCTCCTCCTCATTGGGTTTCCTAAAGACTAGATAAGGTTTAGGAGTTCATCGGCTGGGAATAGAACCCGGGTCATATCAGGTATCACCAAGCATTGTAACACTAAATCATCTATGAACATTATTATGTATTATCTGTGTTCACGCCAAGGTTGTACGGATATTTCCATCAGTCTTTGAACATAAAAGTAAATATTTCAGTGAGAAAATTAAAAAAACGGTTCCAAAAAAGAAAATTTCCTCTTCGACGAAGTCATCAACTAGGCTGCGCATTCGTGTTTGTATGGTAAGGCAATAATAAACTCCCACAGTTATTTGCAGTCTAATGACAAATTATAACAAATAGCAAGATTACAAATGTAATAACAACAAAAATAAACCGGAAGTTTTAAATAAGAAACGTAATCGAATCATCACTATTCAGAGAAATGGGCATTTATGAGAGTCATGGTACAGAAAAAGATTGGACATTTTTCTCTGGACTTTTGTGTCACTAGAGCTTCAGCTATACCTAGATGCTTTGATGTCACTTCCTCTGAGAGGTCTGATTGGAATCTGAAGAACTCAAATGGAGCTGAGTGTTCTGAGCTCACTAGATGTTCGGTTACTTATCTGTGTACACACCTGCGTTCTCCATCCGATAGCCAGGTTGGATAGGGTCCCAGTGCTACAGCCAATGTACTCAGCTCCACAAGAGCAGTTTAATTGGTATGCGTATATTCAGGTGGCCTCATGCAACAACCTGTTTTTGATGTGCCGGTCAAATAGTTACTCGTAGTCTAGTAGAGAAGTATATTTTACAGAGTGATTTTGAAAACTATTTTTGGAGAATTTCTATTTCAGTGTCACTTTTAAATTCAAGATTTAGCAGCAAAATATTTCTTAGGGTGATCATTGCTTTCATGTATTACACTCATTGGAGGGTGTATGAGTCTGCTTGCCAGTGCACTTTCTCAGGGTGTTCACCACGACCGGCACTGTTGTCTTTCTGCTGTAGTCAAACTGATCAGATCTGATTACCGTTAGGCTTGTTTGGGTTGGTAGGTGACTCACCAGTCCATTCTGTGGGCTATGAATGTTAATAGCCAGCTATAGTGGATCTGTGCGGTGTCTCAGAGACGACGGCTTTGCATATGCGCTCTGTCCTTCAGGTGTGGTTGAGTCTGGTCGACTTGTTGCTAGTTTCGGCTGGTCAGTTGATGGCTTGATCATGTTCAGTTGGCAGCGGTGTGTGTGTCATAGTTTGGGCCAATAGTCTGTGATGTTGTGGTAGACTATCCACCTGACCCGTATTGAAACACGAACCAAAGAGTTTAACATGCACGCGAGTCATTGGGCCTTAAGAAACCCAAAGGCGCAGTGAAGGTAAAAGTTTGGCTTGTCCAGAATGAGGTTAGATCCTGTTGTTTTGCTCATTAATTCCAAGCTATGAGCAGCAGGCGCATCATCGGCCCGTCCCATGCCGTAGGCATGTGGCCTTGTGGTATGTGCACCGTCGGGGCGGAGCAAGAGCTTACATTCTGAAACCCGAAAGATGGTGAACTATGCTTGCGAAGGTTGAAGCTAGAGGAAACCCTGGTGGAGCACTGTAGCGATTCTGACGTGCAAATCTATCGTATAACGTCAGTATAGAAGCGAAAGACTAATCGAACCATCTAGAAGCTGGTTCCCTCGGAAGTTTCCTTTAGGATAGCTGGCATTTCGAGATAAAAACAGTTTTATCCGGCAAAGCGAATGATTAGAGGCATTGGGGAGAAAACATCCTCAACTTATTCTCAAACTTTAAATAGGTGAGAAGCTTAACTCGCTTAAATGGAGGTTTGCAGTGAATGTGAGTGCCATTTTTGGTAAGCAGAACTACCGCTGTGGAATGAACTAAACGTGCGGTTAAGGTGCCTAATGCTACTCTCATGAGATACCACAAAAGGCGTTGGCTGGTTTCAGGTTTTTGTCTATGAATCTGCGTGGGAAACCATTTTCATTCTAATTCTTTGTAGATTTAGAAGTTCTTCCTCAACAGATTACCTGGCGTACATTTTCCTTATCCTTTGGGAAAGAGAACAGATGAGATTTCTCTTCCTGCTTAAAGGGTATAACTTTGAAAGTTGACAAATTGCCAATTGCATGTTGGATTTTTGTAAGCGGATCATTAGCAAAGAGTCACATACGAACATTTTATCAGAATTCATCTCCGTAGCAGTTAGTTCGTTAGTTGGTTATGTAGCCTAATTTACGGTGTAAAAGATATTTTGTTATAAAAGGAGTTTTACCACAGTTAAAAAAACACCTCAAAATAAAAAGCCATAGCAGTTGCCAGTTTCGTGGCTAAAAGCTTTGTAAGATATGAACTGAATGTTGTTGTATGCACTCTTACGAAAAAGGCTTGCACAAAACAGGGGTAGTTCTTATTCTAAATCACTGTTCTGAAATGTTAAATATTTGTTTGGTTGAAGGATTTCCTTATGAACTGATGTCAGTTAGAGAACCATTGGAAAACCAGCTAGGAGTACTGAACACCTGTTTCCTCAGCCTAGTTCTGGACTCTTCAGCAGTAAGCATCCGCGGGGGTTCTAACCCAGAACCTTCTAGGTTCTTAAACTAATGTCAGCTCATGATGTAATCCTTCAACCAATCAAACAAAATCCGCTAATCTGATGTGCAGTAGGTAAGTTGTTACCTGGGGTTCTAATGGGAAGTCCTTACCAGCGGGTTGAAGGCGAGGCAGCAGTGCAGATTGATGGCACAAGGTCATGCATCAGCAGAATTTAGAATTCGTGGGCTGATCATTGGACCAGGTCTCAGTGGCTTAATGGTTTACCAGCTAGCTAGTCTTGTTACCAGAACGTCCTGTGTTTGAACGCCGGTGGATGCATGCAGCCGAAGGATCCTGAACTAGGATGGAGCTGCTGTCCACTACTCCCTTCAGGATTTCCAATGGTTCTCTAACACACGTTAGCTCATCATGAAATCCTCCAACCAATCAAACAAAATTTCCTACTAAACCAATACTTGAAAATTAAATAGCTGTCTGCAAAATCAATAGCTGTACCAGGAAAATTAGTTTCACATAGTTTAGTTTTATCAGTGTGAAATGTGCTTGTGAATTCCATGATAAGTTGTACAAGGAATGTTTGCACGATTAGCAGTAAACAAAAGTGTTTAAGAGAGTTTAGCTTAAACAGTGGCTCAAAATATATATTTGCAAGGAGGATTCCATCATCAGCTGACATCAGTTAGAGAACCACTGGAAAACCAGCTAGGAGTACTGGACAGCTGTTTCGTCCTAGTTTGGGACTCTTCAGCAGTACGCAACTTCAAATTATATGTGTTACATTATTGGGATATACTAAAGATACGAGAAAAATTATAAGTGAATATACCGTTCTGGAACTCAAAGTTTTCATACATTTTCTCAAATATCATTTTGACTGACTATTCTTCACTTAAGCAACAACAGTTTCAGTCAGTAGCCTGGAAGTATGGAAACGGTTCCACATTTAGAGACTCTAATTTCTCCTCATTAACCACCTTTCAAAGCCTAAAGAACATAAGACAGTTTTTAAAATTTCATCCACTTCTGTTTCTTTTATTTTTCAGATCATCGGAACTGACAACCTGTAGAACAACTCGAATAAATGACAATAACCGGTACCAGAGTGACAAAAGTCTATCGATTAGTCACACGAACTCATCAAGCTCAGATATATCTGAATACCATCAAACTTCAAAGCTTCATTCTAAATCGATATCACATTTAGAAAACAAAACCAGCCGCCTACAATGGAGTCACACAGACAATAATCCCATTGAGAACAAATTCAGTACCAAAAGAAAAGAATCCATAAAATATCCAGAGTACAAGGGACAGAATACAGGTATTCTAAAGAAGCCTACCGATAACTTGTGTACACAGTCAAATATCCCAACGTCAATATTAATGAAACCGCCTATTCTATTCCGACGAAGTCATTCTGCCAATGTATCCCGTAATACAAGTGTACATTTTGATCTTGACAAGAAACAGACATCATGCATAGGAAATCAATCACAATATCATAAACAGAATTACAAATTGAAGTCTTCTTCAAATCATAAATCAGTTTCCGTGGTAACTATGTAACATGGAATGCATGATTTCTGTAGACATTTTGCATAAGTGAAAAGCCAGGAGACAAGTGATAACACTGTACAATTTTATACAACAATTAAGCATAATAGTATTAATTTGAATTAGATTTGATCAAAATTATTTTCAAGTAAAACTTTCTATTGTTATTCATATGTAATTTTCTAAAAGTTGGAAAGAAAGAAAGATAACGACTTTTCCAGTTCTGCGCAGTTTTGATGAAATCAGGTGTTTTTTTCCTTTTTAATCATGCTAGCTTATATCCTAAAATACCCACAACTAAGTACTGAATAGGTTTGTTAATGTTACGAAATCATTCTGCGTATATGAATACAAGAAAGATTGTTGTTAACCAGGTCTATTAAGAAAATTGTTTTTTTTTATGTAGCGTCTACGAGTTTAAATGAATCAGGGAACAAATATTTTCTGAGAACGGCCTGCTTAAATCACTGGGCTACTGGAATTTTTTGCCATTAAAATGCCTAATTTCACCTAAATTAATTATTTGTTTTAATCGTTCAGTTATATCAAATGACCTTTACATGAATATAAACGCGCTGATTTCAACTTTTTTCAAATTACCACTGTGAAATTTCCAACGAAATGAAGATGTATTCAGAATTTTATTTAAGATATGATAGAGAAGATTTGTAGCTCAGGTGAATGATTTTGATATAGTTGTGTTCTCTGAGCAGGGTAGTTAATTTGCGAAGTTTTCATTGCCCTACTTGATGATCCAACATCATCTACAAAATAAATTGTAACAACTGCGAAAGACACTACACTGGTCAAAGTTGGCGTCCCCTTCGTCTTCGTATCCACGATCATAAGCTAGCCGTCAAAAGACATGATATCCACTCCCACACATCGCCTCACTGCCATGGAAATCGATTCGACTGGGACAATCAGGGTTCTATTATTAGACAGAGGAAACAACGAGAATGCTAGAGAATTTTTAGAAGCCAGTCTGGTATTCCAGTGAATCATCAATCAATAGACACATCGAGAGAGACAAAATTTGTCAACCGATAAGAAAGAAACCTCACACACAAAGGGTCAACGTTGGAGTCAAAGAAACAATCAACATCAATACAAGTAACCTAGAAGGTGTGAAAACACACAAACACAACGAATCACGTCGAAGGTCACTCACCAGGAGAGATCATTAATATACTCGTGGAGAAATCTGAAAGCTCACTTCAACAGACTGAAGTATTCGCTGAAGATGTTGCCTGGTAAGTAGGGGGATGAAAGCTTCGCAAATTAACCATCCAGCTCAGAGAACACAACCACATCAGAACTTTACTTTACATGTAAATCCTGTATGAAGAAATAAGGAATTCGGTATTAATTGCGCTGAAAGTGTTTGCACTGTATGTTTACATATTGTTTGAAATAAAACTTTACTATTGTTATTAATGCACGAGTAGATTATGGACACGGTTGTAAGATATAATATGAATATTAGATCGGATCATCTAGCATAACACCCAGTGATACAATAATGATAACTGGACGGATGTTTGACTACAAAATAAAACGGGAACAAAGTGATGGGTTAGCATCGCGAGGAAACTAACACATTCTGATAAATACTTAGACTTTGATTCATCCCACTGAAAATCACTTAAGGTCCGATTGGTTGAGTGTTTAGATAATAGAACCAGGAAATTAAGTGGTCAGTCAGGAGACCTCAATAATGCAACCAAGCAGATAAAGAATCCATTAATAGGGAATGACCGCCCACCAGATTGTATTCGGAAATGTATGAAGGTTCAAAATGAAAATAACATTAGTAATGTGAACAATGGAAGTAGTATAAAGAATAAGGAATTCAAAACCACGATAGTTTTGGCATATAGAGAAGGAATAACAGAATCCTAGAATAAGGATAGCATTTAAACCAACCAACCCACTGAAAGAATAGTTTTGTCAACCTGAAGACCCAATAGACCAAATGAAGAAAAATAATATAGCTTACTGAATACCATGCAATGACTGAGGTCAATTACGTAGGTTAGGATGGTAAATCTAAGTCAGACAGTCAATCGGAATATTGGAATTTCGCTACAGCTGCAGTGATTGGTCTTGTTAAAGTAAATAAGCCATAAAAACATCATCACAATGCATTTAATTGCATGTATTCACACAACAATAGGCCAGGACATGGTGAAAGTGCTAAAAACTAATATTATTATTATTCCCTAGGGTTCCGAGTTAAACATATGCCTTCAATAACACACCTCCGCTTTCTTCCGTTTTCTGCTGTCCTCTTCAGCCTACCCCACGATTGCCCATAATATCATGTCCTCATCGTACGATCTCCTCCATGCCACCCTTACACTAACGACATGGAGGAGGTCGTGTGTGGAGAAAGTGAGAGCTTTCAGTCAACTATGAAGTCACTTAAAGACGATTAACAACAACAGGATGAAATGGTGATGTGTCGCTGAAGCCCTATGTTCCAGGCAGAATCCGGAGGGAAAATAATCATAAAACGTATATATGAATTTTATAAATCTTAAAAGAAAGTCTTACTGACGACATGAGAACTTTCGACAATTGTTTGGGCAAAAAAGGTTTAAAAGTGAAACATTTAAGCAAAGAATATCCTCTTCTGATTTTAAATTATATACATATGTTTATGTACATAGAATATTCTAGAATAATCGTCATTAACAATATTGGTGTATTCTAAATTACACCGATTTGTTAAGATCAGTGAAATTACGGTTTAAGAAAGATACATATATTATATTAAGCATTAAAATGTAATAGTAAACATTACATCAAATAAAATTGAGGAATTTTCAACAAGAAATTGAGGATCATTAAAATTTTGATGACCAGCAAGGTAAGGACAATGTTTGAACCAACTTCTTGTTTGGATACATAAGTTACATTTCTTAATGTAGGTCCAAACAGCTAGTCTCAGCAATATGTAGTAGACGAACTCTTCAGGTAAAGTTAAGATTTGTTAGTATGCAGTAGATGACTTTGAAAGCCGCCTCGTTAGCATCAACCTGGTGTTCTATATTTCCACAAAATGAGATAGAATAGCACTATGAACGGATTTTGTTTGTCTCTTTTTTAATTAACAAAGCAGAATGATGTTAGGAAATCCGACGGCAATAAAAAACGCCTAACTGCACGGCTTATGCAACTAACTGGCTCCATAGAGCAGTCAAAATGATAGATATACAGAGAAAATGCGAAATCACGTAGTCTACCTTCAGCTCTCAGAAGCAAAATAGGGATGGTTTTGAGGTTACAGAATAATTCAGCATCACTGAATGCTGTTTTTTTTACCACCGTATTCCTTATACGGTGTTGTGCTAATATCTCACTGTTGGTATCTCCGTAGAGCTGACGTTGTAAGCATAAGGTTGTAAAACCACGAAAAATACCCATTTATATATGAGTAAAAACACAGTTTCTTTGTTCAGCGAAGAAATTTCTTTTCAACGACTTCATTTTCAAGCTGTACAGTCGTATTGATATTACAGAAAAAGTTATTAATTGGCACTAAATAATTGCTTAGTCAATATACATATGTAAGTGATAAGAATAACGATAATTAAAATGTTATAAGGGGTAGAGTTGAAGTGGATAAATTACAGAATTGTTGAAGATTGTTTTATAAGTGAATTAATATCAAAAGTATTTTTTAATGTCAAGCGTTGTCTAAAAATTTTTTTTAAAAATAATTATGAGTACGATTACGATAAGTATAAGCATGTGAAGTGGAAAGAATTCAACTGGTAAAATAAAATAAAAACTAGAAAGAACATTACTATGACCAAGGTAAAGAAAGGGAGGGGCTTGACAAAACGTTTTTGAACACGTAATTTAGGTTTCTGTTCATGTATAGCTAAAGCTTCGGCTATGCGTATGTGAAGAAAACGTAAACTTTTGGATCGATTCGATTTTACTATGTAGATAACTTTGAAGGATGAATCACGTGGGGCCAAATGACCAGACTGTAACAGGTGATCACAAGTAGACGACTTTGCAGTTCTACGTTCGCCTTTCATTAACCAAACCGAATAGTGTTCAGCTACACGTTTTCGGGGATTACGCTTACAATGTTGAATATAATCAGCTCCCCAGGAGCAGGTAAAAGAGTAAATGCACATAGATGTGGACAAAAGCGGTAATCTATCCTTGACGCATAAACATATTTCGGCTGGTAAAACTAGTTGCAAGTCAGCTGCAGAAAAAGTGCGTTTAATACATTTAGATAAACGATTTTTAATCAATTATGAAATGTTGTCACCTTTGAATGCAAGACTCATAAACAGTTTTTTCTTTGGCACTGTGATTTGTCTAGGGGCGGATACTTTCTTAGTGTTACGTTCAATAAACCTTGTAGGATTTCCATTGTTAAGGAGATTTGATCGAAGGTTATCTAGTTCCCTATCGATTGTCTCTGTAGAGCAGATTTTACGAATTCTGGAGCATAAGGAATGAATAAGATTTCTCTTTCTCCCTAAAGGTACCCAACTGTTGAAGTTAGTGTACTACCCTATGAATGTTGGCTTTCCGTAAATCGACCTTAACAGCGTCAAGGAAGTGAAACGAGGAATTCGACTCTTCTTCGATTGTGAAACGCAAAAATAGGTGAGAACCACTTAAATATTCCAAGAAGTTCGGCAGTTGAAGAGTTTTCATCACACACAATGAAGGTATCATCAATATGTCTTTTATACATAAAAAAAACTAGTAACGGTTTCCTTTGGTGGGCCATTCTCTAAGCTTGCTATGAAGACAAAAAGTTTGTAAAAGGTGATTTTTCGATACTGACATTGGATGTCAGTAGCAAATTCGTGTGAATCAGTATCAAAGTTCACTTCCTATCAAGTGTAGTAACGTATTAGTTACAATCTCTGGAATCGACGTCGTTTTTTCGGTTTTTCTTCATCACATATTACTGTTTCCTGTTCTAAGGTTCACTAGCGTAAATATTATTGCTTTATCATTAAAATGTAAAGTATTCTAATGTCTATCATTTATCTTTATACATATGAATTCAAAGGAAATGCATTTTTATCTGATATATATGCATAGAGAATCTCTTACAGAAATTGTAAAAATCAAGTTATAACCTGTTTAAACAATAAAAATTAAAAGAAAATAGGAATCAAGGGTAGGATGTTGTGTGTTTCACCTGTTCCCATGCCATTTATTTCATGCTTGAATAAACGGTTATAAAAAAATGGAAATAAGCCCTAAAAAGTGGTTGGGGGGGGGAGACAATCTGATTTCGAGACATTT